CATAGGGTTGATTTAACCAGATGATCTGACACAGGCATTGGCTGTGAAAATATAAATTTTGACTCTTCTTGGTACGGTGCTTCTTGCAATATACAAATCTGATACGGGTCATTTTTTTTTTACATGTAGATTTATTTTTGTACAATTTTGTAAACTTCAATCAGGCAAAAAAGTCCAAGGTCTGTTTTAAAAAAATAAATAAATAAATAATTATCTTTGAAAGTGGGCTTGGTAATGTCATGTGCCATCCTGGATGAGTCAGACTCAAAGGAGGGCTGTGATGAATGGGATATAAACATTTTGAGAATTCTATTACTTTGTCAGTGTTGGAGAATTTGTTCATTTGTTTGTGAATGTTAACAGTGTATATGAGTGTTATGTATTTCACAACAATCTTAATGAAAGCAAAAGTCATGGAAGCTTGCATTTAGAGAATACATTTTATGACTTTTCATATGATAAAAGCTAAATAAGTGTTTGTTAGAAGCAGTAGAATCTCACCAGAGTCTGATGTGATGAAAAATATTGTTCAAAATAGTGCTGAATGGACAAACTACAAAATTGAAGAGATTAATAGGGCTGAGGTAGTTGATTAGTGTATGGTGCTGGGGGCCTTAGACAGAATTGGTATCTATCTGTGTATACAGCCAAGATGGCGGTAGGCTCCAGGTGCCTTGGCATTAAACCACTTCTGAAAATGGTTTGACATAAAACCAAGGGACTGCAAGGGAAACTTTTAGTAGCAATCAGTTCCTTTAAACTATAGCGGTTACAGTACCAGGAGTGTCCTGGCTCCCTCCCACAGTAATTAGACAAAGGGTTTAACAGTTTACCTGGATTACATGGGGCACCTGCAGCTGCACTGCCTGCGTTTATAATCTCCTGCAATCTGTTTAATTCCACTGAGCTAAGCATGGCCATTCTCATTGGCTGCAAGTGTCAGCTGAACACTCTCAACAAATGAGGGGGGGCGGGAGGGAGGACAGTATGAGGGGAGGAAGTGGAAGGAAATGGAGAGGAGGACAGTATGAGGGAAGGAAATGGGGAGGAGGACAGTATGAGGGAAGGAAATGGGGAGGAGGACAGTATGAGGGAAGGAAATGGGGAGGAGGACAGTATGAGGGAAGGAAATGGAGAGGAGGACAGTATGAGGGAAGGAAATGGGGAGGAGGACAGTATGAGGGAAGGAAACGGGAGGACAGCAGGAGGGGAGGAAATAGGGGAAGGACAGTATGAGGGAAGGAAACGGGAGGAGGACAGTATGAGGGAAGGAAATGGGGAGGAGGACAGTATGAGGGAAGGAAACGGGAGGACAGCAGGAGGGGAGGAAATGGGGGAAGGACAGCATGAGGGGAGGAAGTGGAAGGAAATGGAGAGGAGGACTGTATGAGGGAAGGAAATGGGGAGGAGGACAGCATGAGGGAAGGAAATGGGGGGGAGGACAGCATGAGGGAAGGAAATGGGGGGGAGGACAGCATGAGGAAAGGAAATGGGGGGAAGGACAGCATGAGGGGAGGAAATGGGAGGAGGACCATTTGAGGGGCGGAAATGGTGGAAGGGTTCTGGGATACCTATGGACACCTGTCGCCAGCATGATGTGTGTCTGGACATGACTACATATTGAAACAATACACAAGGTTATATTAGATGGTTTAGTTTCAATAATAATGATAATAAATAATTGTCAGTTTTCCTTTAAAACAGCTGTGCACTAGCAACATTTGGTCCAATTTCAATTCCATGTAGTACCAAACATCACTCTGCTGCCAAAACTCAGCTCTTTGCCTTGCATCTCAAATCAATCACTCTATGTTGGGTGCAGGGCTATATAACTGTGTATTACTTATCCAGTACTTTCATGTACGATGATTCCTTTGTGTTAATGTATCATTGCTTTGGTTCAGTACTGACATTATCGACTGTCACATATATGGTATTCTCATCTTTCTGTTAAGCAGTTTTCTTCTCCGTGCCTAAATAAAAACATTGACAATACTTTTATGTGGACTGGTTAGACTTAAAATATCAGGACAAAACAAGCTCTCTAGGGGAGAACAAATGTTTTTTGCAGGGGCGTACCTAGGAACCAATACAATACACCTGAGTGTGGTAGCTGAGTGTTATGGTGGTTGGCGGAGTAGGACGTGTGTGTGTGTGTGTAATATTAGCCTTAAAATCATTTTCTGCCCTCATGGACCCTAGTAGTTCAGCAAGATTCATGATCCGTGGTGGTCCTTCTGGCAGCATCTGTGTGTGTACATACTGATTGGTCACAACATTAAAACCCCCTTAACCAATATCGTGTAGATCATATACATGCGGCCAAAACACCTCTGTTGCATTGAGGCATGGACTCCATAAGACCTCTGAACATGTCCTGTGGTATCTGACCTCAAGATATTAGTAGCAGATCTTTTAAGTCCTGCAAGTTGAGAGGTGGGAGTTACAGCACATCCAATAGATGCTCAATTGCAGATTTTAGGAGTGTGGAGACCAGGGCATGCCATGTTCCTCAAACCATTCCTGAACAGTTCTTGCAGCGTGGCAGGGTTCATTATCCTGCTGAACGAGGCCATTGCCATGAAGGGGTGTACATAGTCTGTAACAATCTCTAGGTGTCAAAGTCACATACACATAAATGCCAGAACCCAAGGTTTACCAGCAAAACATTGACCAGAGAATAACGCTACCTCTACCGGCCTGCCTTCTTTGTATCTCCTTCCCAGGTAAACAACACACACACCCGGCGATCCATCTGATCTAAAAGAAAACATGATTCATCACCCCAGGCAACCTTCTTTCATTGCTCTATTGAAGGCACTTTCGGCTGTGCACAGGGGTCATCATGGGAACACTGACCAGTCTGTGGCTATGCAGCCTCATTCACAGACAACTGTGATGCACTGTGGGTTCTGACACCTTTCTATCATGGCCAACATTAAGTTTTTCAGCAATTTGAGCTACACTAGCTCTTCAGTGTGATCAGACCAGATCGGCTTGCCTTCGTTCCCCATCTGAATCAATGAGCCTTGTGTGCTAATAGGTACCCAAATGACAACCTTTGTTTTCTAATGATTAGTATTTTTGTTGACGTGTATGGCAACAGTGTCAATTGTTGTGCCCAATTTCAATGTAGTTTTAGTCATAGTCTTTTGACTATAAAGCTTTTTTTGTTTTAGTCTTATTTTAGCCATCTGAATTGTCTAGTTTAAGTCGACTAAATATCTAGCAGATTTTAGTCGATGCGATTACATCTACAAATGTAAGGGAATCCCCTGGACTGTAAGGAAGGGGAGGCATGACTGCTGCCCTGCAGTAAGGATTGAGAGAGAGAGAGAGAGAGAGAGAGAGAGAGAGACAAGGTTGCAGGGAGATGGGATGGTATAAGTAGAGGGGGGAGGGTACTCTCTATTCGCAGAAGGAACAGGCTGGAACAGTTTTCACTTTAGCGTTCTGCTGTTTAAACAAAAAAAAAGGTAGTTTAGTTAAGGGCCTGTTTACTTACATAGAGTTAGTGTCCTAGGCTTCCCCTTGTTCACAATGGCTGCTGTGTCCAAGGATGTGCCGATTGGGATGCTGCTAGCTTACCTGGCTTACCCGCCAATGGAGCGGGTTCCCTGTCGGAGGTGATGGCCGGTCTTCCCCAGGAGCTGATGGGAGCAGAGCAGCAGGTGGCGGAGAGTCCATCTCTGGCCAGCGGTAGGAAGCCGAGGCAATACTGGTCTCCTACTCGCCTTTCACGGAGTTCGGTTCGGGACGAGCGGGAGTCAGTCGGCACTCGGCACTGGAGCGGTGATCGGCGGATCCCAGAAGGTGGCCGCGGGTGGAGATGTCGGTAGGGAGTCGGGCCTAAGATGTCGGAGCGCAGGAAGAGCGCTCTGAGTCCCCCTTCTGGTCTGGGCGGAAGGGACAGTGAGACGGCAGACGTCTGGGTGGAGCTTGGAGGCACTGGACGTCACGCAGGGGAACGTACGTGACAATGCACGTCGCGGAGTGCTGACGTCACAGGCCCCGCCACCTTGGAACCCGGAAGTGGATGGAATTCCAGTATTGATGCCCCATGAGAGCCGGGAACTGGCTGAAGAGCATGGCCGGAGGTCAGTGCAGCACAGGAGAGCATCAGAGGCTGGTGCCCAGCCGCAAGGAGAGATGGACACAGGATGGAGGCGGGGTGCATTGCCTGCCAGGAGTCCAGGATTCAGGAGACAAGGCAGCCAGCGGACCGGGCGACTGCCTGAAGATTCTGATTCAGGATCCCAGGAGGAGATAAAGGACCAGGACCGGATGGGAGTTTGTGGTGTTTGTCCTGTCGAGCGGGCTACCATGGCAGCTATGCTTGGGGTAGCCTTGCAGGGGGGCAGGACGTTCTAGGGGGCTTCAGGATCAGGCTGCACAAGGGGAATTGCTGCGCTTGCTTAGGGCTGTAGTAGATAGGTTGCCAGGGACCATTGCGCCTAGACCAGGTGTAGACACGCACAGGGTGCTGGAGGAGGCACAAGCAGAAGGGGCACAGGCATGGGGGGAGGGGGCATTTTTCGCCCCTCTCTTCCTGGATGTGAGTTGATTCCTTTGGGCATGCATGTCCCAGTGGAGATGCGTGACAAGATCCTCAAGGGCGAATTTGTGGATTTACTTTCGCTGGTTCCCTCTGAGGATTCTGTGGATAGGCCGCATCGTGGCGATCCACATTATTTGGATAAGAGTGAACAAATCCCATGTACTTTCCAGGGGCAGCCGGAGCCCTCTCCGGTGCACTGGCTGGTCAGGAAAAAGGAGTGTGGCTCTTTAATGAGAGCCACTGCAGGTGGTACTCCTTCTGCAGGTTTAAGCATGAGTGCTCGCATTGCGGTTGCCTCACCCTGCAATTCAATGCTTTAAAATCGGGGGCCCGTGAGGACGGTTCTAAAGGGGAGAACACCAGTGAGCATGGCAAGGATGTAGCCGTGGCTCGAGGTCTACCCTAAACGCCGTGACGCCATGGTGTTGGAGGAAGGGTTTTCAGTCGGGTTTTGGATCCCTTTTGTTTTTTCACCGGAGCGGATAATCTACGGTCGGTTCTGGGTAAGGAGGATATATTTGGCAACAAGTTGTCTAAGGAGACATCGCTAGGTTGCATGGTTGGGCCATTTGATTTTCTCCCCTTTCCTAACCTGCGAGTATCACCATAGGGGTTGGTGCCGAAAAAAGGAGTCTAGTTCCTTTCGTATGATTCATCACCTGTCCTACCCGGCTAGGAGTTAGGTGAATGATGACACTGATAGGGAGTTCAGCAGGGTTAGTTACCCCTTCTTTGATCGGGCATTGTCGCTGGTTAGAGGCGTGGAGGCACTCCTGGCAAAATCCGACATCAAATCGGCGTTTCAGTTGTTGCCGGTTTACCCGGAATGTTTTAACCTTCTGGGTTGTCGATTTTCAGGGGTCGGATTTCTGACGTGCCTCCCCATGGGCTGCTCCATTTCGTGTTCATATTTTGAAACAATTGCTTTGTTTTTGGAGTGGGTCATGGTTCAGTTTTTGGGTATTTATTTGGTAACTCGTTATCTTGATGACTTCCTGTTTGTGGGTCCTCGCGATGGTGACGGTGTTCCACTCAGTGGCTACTTGATAAGGGTATAGTGGGCCGTCCACTAGGCTGTCTTTCCTAGGAATGGAAATTGACACGGTGGAAATGGTGTTTCATTTGCCAGACTAAAAGCTCATTGTGCTGCTGAGGCAGGTTGATCTGGTGAAGTTGGAACAGAAGGTTCAGTTACGTACCATGCAGGTGTTGCTGGGTCATTTGGCTTTTGCTTGCAGGGTTCTGCCTATGGGTCGGGCCTTTTGTCATCATTTGTCCTTGTTGATGGTTGGGATTAGGGAGGCTCACCACTTTATTTGGGTGACTGGCAAGCTGCGGGCTGACCTGCAAGTCTGGAGTGCCTTCCTGGGTAAGTACAATGGGCGTCATGCTGGTTGTGGGAAGTGTTGTCCAATTAAGAGTTGGACCTCTTCACGAATGCATCGGGGATGTATAGGATTTGGGGCCTTCTTTTGGGGTAATTGGTGTGCGGCAGCGTGGCCTTCGGAATGGCGTGGGTTAGATGTGATTCGTAACCTAACATTTTTGGAACTCTTTCCCATAGTGGTGGTTCTGGCATTACGGGGAGAGGATCTTCGGGATCGGGTGGTGGATTTTCACATGGACAATGAGTGTTGTCCATGTGATTAATCGATCATCGTCTGCATCTCCTCCAGTTCTGGCTCTCTTGCAACATCTGGTGCTGCTAAACTTAAGGTTTAACGTGTGGATTCAGGCACAGCATGTCCCCGGGGAGTTGAACGTAGTGGCTAACTCTCTTTCTCTGTTTCAGTGGCACCGTTTTCGGGAGTCAGCTCCAGAGGGTCTTCTCTGCCCTTCATACTTATGGGACCTAGTTTTGGAGAGGTTCCTGGCCAGCGCAAGTAATTCATGAGACAAAGCTTTGGGGAGTCGCAGCCTGCATGAACTCTGGAAATACACGGTTTTATCTATCTGTTGGGTAGTCACCCCAACAGCTGCCAGGTGGTGATAATGCTGTGGCTGTTGCCCTTATCCAATATGTGGCATCATGTCATTATTGGGGGGTAATGGGTAGGTTATCTGGTCAGCCATCAAGGGATCCCCTGGACTGTAAGAAAGGGGAAGCGTGACTGCTGCCCTGCAGTAAGGAGGTGGGATAGAGAGAGATACAAGGTTGCAGAGAGATAGGATGGTATAACAGGTGCAGAGGGGAGGGTACTCACCATTCGCAGAAGGAACAGGCTGGAACAGTTTTCCCTCCCTCCCCTATGTTTGTTATGTTTGTTGGTGTTTTCTGTGATGTTGTTTTGTTTCTGTTCTCTTTTTGTCACAGTTAAGGCAGAGTTCCTGGCCAGCGCAAATAATGCACGAGACAAGGCTTTGGGGAGTCGCAGCCTGCTAGGGCTGATGGCAGAAGGCAGGCTGTACGAACTCTGGAATTACACGGTTTTATCTGTCTGTTGGGTAGTCACCCCAACAGCTGACAGGTGGTGGTAATGCTGGCGGTGTTTAAAAGTTGAATCAATAAAGCTGTGGCCGTTGCCCTTATCCAATACTCAGGCATCATGTCATTATTGGGGGGTAACGGGTTGGTTATCTGGTCAGCAGTCATAGGTTTAGTAAAAGCCTCTATCGGTGTCTTTTGCCCCTTCCCCAGCCCCTCTAGGTGTTTCACTCCCAAACCCTAGTCTGTCTCTTAAGCCCCTTCCACAGCCCCTCAAATTTCAGTTTAGTTTTAGTCAGTCTTTTGACCAAAAAGCCATTTTAGTTTCAGTCATATGTTAGTCATCTGAACTGTTTGAGTTTTAGTCAACTAAAATTGTTACTTGACAAAATTAACACTGTATGACAACTAGATTGGCTTGTTCCATGCAGAAGGTGGGTTTATTTCTGTAGACCAATAGAGCAGGCTGCTTCATAGGACTATACAGAGGAAGTAAGTGTCACCACCCTGTCATTAGGTTCATAGAAACAGAGCAGAATTTGACCCAAAGAATCAGATAATTACACAGATTACATCACCGTGACGAACCAATCGTACACAAAACGCTAATTGCAAAACTTTAGAGTAAATTACACGGCGAACAACACAGTGACAACATAACACAAAGATAAATTACAGTGCAGCTGTGCAACCAAAAAATCTCAAAAAAAAACAGGTAGTATTAATGCGAAAAGGCAGGAAGTAGCAGCTGAAGATTCCACGTTATAATCTTCACCAGTCATTTTATGAAACTCAAAGAAAGGGGACTTGGTTATTCTCAGTTAGAAAGATTCTCTGGTTAAGGAGTGTGTGCGATCTAATTCACTAAAACAGAAGTTATTGATTAAAAGGCAAGTGGTAAATGTAGGCATACACAGTTGATATGGAGAAACTGACCAACCCTGTTATGGCAGATTGTCTGTTTTCGCCTCTATTTTTCCAAAGTCTCGACAGTTTGGGGTTTTAGAGAATCACGCCCATGAAGTGTACCTTTTGGAAAATTTAAAGTGAATTTCAAAATTTAGATGAAAATATCTGAAGTACAAACACCGCTGAGATGTAAGAAAACACGTGTGAAACTAAAAAGGCGTTTATTAGTGATATTTTCAAGACAGCAGCTGTTACACACACACACACACACACACACACACACACACACACACACACACACAAAAAAAAAAAACTGAAACACAAAGTTTACGAGATGTGTCCCACCAATAAACAAAAAGTGTGAGTGCAACGCTAAAAACAAATCATACATTTACCCCTTAAATATTGCAGGAGTTGATACCATACACATAAGAAAATAGAATAAAAAAAGTTTTAAAAAAAACGTAATATTGTATAGATGTGGAATTCAAATAAGTGAGTGATAGAAAACTCACATTTAATGGAGCATTTTGATGATATAGGTTCTAAACCAGGGCTTGAGAAATTTGCTTTGAATCTAGGAGCAAGCAAAAAAAAAAGATAGGAGACACTGTTTTTGTTTAAACTCACAAACCTTTATTTTCAATGACAAAAATACAATTCTTAAAGGGACACTATAGTGCCAGGAACACAAACGTATTACTTACCCTGTCCCTCCAAAATATAGTAAAATCTTACCATTATTCCAGCCTGCTGGTACTGGCCACGCCTCTTGATCTGCCTGCTTGGCTGACATCATCAGAAGTAATGATCTCAGCCTATCACAATGCTTTCACATAGGATTGGCTGAGATTGGAAAGGAAGTGGACCAAATGCCGCCCTAGCCAATTAGCATCTCCTCATAGCGATGCATTGAATCAATGAATCTCTATGAGGAAAGTTCAGTGTCTGCATGCAGAGGGTGGAGACACCGAATATCAGTCACACTGTGCAGCACTGCGCCAGGAAGCACCTCTAGTAGCCATCTGAGGAGTGGCCAGTGGAGGTATCCTTAGGCTGTAATGTAAACATTGCATTTTCTCTGAAAGGCGCTGAATGTTCTCCATAGAGATGCATTGATTCAATGAATCTCTGTGAGGAGATGCTGATAGGTGCAGCATTTTGTTCATCAAGCTTAATAATCTCAGCCATGGAGGCAGACCAGCTGTGGCAAGACTTGTATGGCGTGGGAAAAAAGCCAAGTAAAAAAAAACATTCCCATGAGATCGAAGGTGGGCTGGTCACCTAATTGTACACACTCACTGACACACAAACATTTTTAGCTACCCTCCTGTTACCTATCTTTGGGGCACAGGATTGTGGCTTCCCTGGGGTCCAGTGGTACAGGGCAACAGCAGATGAGATTACATTAGTGGGGTTGGCTGCGGCTTATGGGAGTGGGCTGTTGTTGGTTGGGAAGAAGTGAAGGGAACAGTAATTACTTCCTACCGGTGCTGAGGCAGTGCAGGGGATGGAAAGCTGGCAGGGCACCAGGTAAAGACGGCTCTACACGCCCCCAAACCTCTATTCCAAGCATGTCAAACTCAAAGTCTGGATCGGGCCAGGTTTAAGTTTATGTGGGCCGCAAAAAAAAAAAAAAACGTATATTATCATAGAAACTTAGGTTTATTTTTAAAAGTTCAGTATTACGCCCCCCCCCTCCAGGATTCCCCTCTACTAAACCACTGAATCCCCTCTACCAACCTGCCAAATCTGATCCTCCCGCTGACACCCACACACTGACAGACACACACACACATACTCACTAACAGAGACAGACACACACATACTCACAGGCAGACAGACACCCACATACTGACAAACAGACATATACATACAGACTCACTGACAGACACACACATACTCTCTGACAGACACAAACATACTCACTGACAGACACACACACTAACACACACATTATTTTCTTTATTGCTCCTCACTTTATGGAGCCGCTGTGGGGCATCTCCCTGGGGGCCTTCCTGCTCCTCACTGCTCCCTCGCGTGGTTTAGTGATGCCAGAATATGACGTCATATTCCGGCGCTCGGTTTCACTTCAGTCGGCGCACGAGGGAGCAGTGAGAAGCAGGCACTCTGAGCTCCCTCGCTGGCCACTAGGAACCTCTCCTCCCCGGCCAGGTAAGTGTTAGCAGAGTAGGCACCTGCAATGTGGGGAAAGCATGTGCCTACTCTGCTATTACACCAGCATGCAGTTGCGGCTCGCTTAACACTGCGAGTTTGACATGCTTGCTCTATTCCATTCAGCTGGCTACCAGCCTCGGAGGGATTGGGCTGACAAATTCCTACTCGCCTTGGCGACCTGGCACCTGGGATTTCTCAAGCCCTTAACTAAACACAGGAAATTCCGTGCCTATATGGTGGCAAACACTACCGTCTTTGAAGGGATTTCCAGAGTACGTCACCAATACTGTGTATATAGTGATAAAACATAAAAGAAGCAATCTGGGTGTAGAATATTAAGTATCAATATGTAAACAAGCACCTAATGAGGTGCTTACCTTTTTCAGGAACCTATAGATAACTGGCTCCACGTTTGCAGAACTTTGCGCTAATTTGCAGGGTGACATTAGCCTATGGAACCAGGGTACAGATGAAGATGGAGGGAAAATGTTTTTAAAAAGGTATTTTTTCTATAAACAAATAAAAGGAAATAAAATACTTTTCACAGTAAATAGTGTCCTCCTACGTGTTCCAAGACGCGTTTTGCCAATGAATGGATTTTTCATTTTAAGAGGAGACTTCCTGGTTCTCACATTTAACTCTGAGGCGTTCCCGTCTCTTTTTTCAATTATCCAATCATTTTTCTTCTCTACAGTCATATGTTTAATTGGAGGTGATGTATACCCCTTCTCATTCCAGATTCATGTGTGGGAAGTGATGCGTCTCGATTGCTCTCGGCGTGTCACTTCTATTTGTCACTAGCCCCCAGCACACAATTAACATGACCTCAATATGTGCAGAGTTTCAAGCTGCCTTGCCTCTCTGCCTCCCACATGGCCTCCTCCGGCGTAGTCCAATGCAATGCTCTCAGAGTAGCATTGGGGACCTAAGGCAAGTGTTGCGCATGCATTCATATTCCCCATAAGAAAGAATTAAATAAATGGTTCTCAGTGGGGCTTCCGCTTCTTGTGACCACGTTTTCAGTGCCTCAAAAGCGCTAACAGTGGCTGTCATTCTGAGATGGACTTAATACTGCAATTTGTCTTCTCAAAAACTGCAATGTTTCACACTGTAGGACTAAAAGGACAGAGACACTGCACATGGAAAGCATCTGGTTGGTGGAATGTTTTACCGTGCATGTGTACTAGCTCCCAGTGTTTAGCTATGGGAAAGCATGGGATTGGCTGAGATCATCCATCTCGAGGATCTCAGCCAAGGAGGCGGAGCTCCGAGGAAAAAAGGTAAGTTAAATACCTGTTTTAGTCTCTGCAGGTATTCCTAACATTATAATAATGTTTTATACAAAGTAATTGATAAAGGTTCATGTGTTAGACCAAAGCATTGCAAACATGAGCAGCAATATACAAAGATAGTACACTGAAGCCCACTGAAGGCAGTGGAGATACCCTATATGATTTGTGGAAGCTCTCTCCGTGTTGCTGTCTCGAGGCATTCAGCTCTCTATTTCAGAATATCCCACTGAAAACATGACATGTGCACAGTCGTTATTCGGCATGTGCTTAATCCTTATTTAAATGACACTCGGACACCAATTTTCTGTTGGAGTATAAAGTCCACAGCTTTATTAATTATTATAAATATATATAATTTAACAATTTAGGGTTTAATTATTACTTCCGACCTTCATGCCCAATACCTCTGACAATGACCCTACCAAATAACAATAATGAACATTCCAATATGGCATAACGTTTACACATGGCCTACCAAAGAGGCCCCATAACCATATGTTTAACTGCAGGTGTGTACCCAGAAACCCCTACACCCCCAGGTTCGTAGCCCCCAACGAGCTTGAACCTACCAACCACTTTTCCACTCAGGCCTACACCAGCCTAGACCTTGGCCTACCCCCTTCCTATTCCACCTCAATCCTATTTAACCCACACCTTATTCCTGCCGCTGTGACCAAACAAGAATTGCTTCAAACCAAAGGGAGGGTGGGAGGGA